ACATAGTGTTGTGGGCTCAGCCACATGTTAGACTGGATGTGTACACAGTGTGTGTGGGACTCAGCCACATGTTAGACTGGATGTGTACATAGTGTTGTGTTGTGGACTCAGCCACATGTTAGGGCTCAGCCACATGACTGGATGTGTACATAGTGTTTGTGGGCTCAGCCACATGTTAGACTGGATGTGTACATAGTGTTGTGGGCTCAGCCACATGTTAGACTGGATGTGTACATAGAGTGTTGTGGGCTCAGCCACATGTTAGACTGGATGTGTACATAGAGTGTTGTGGGCTCAGCCACATGTTAGACTGGATGTGTACACAGAGTGTTGTGGGCTCAGCCATATGTTAGACTTGATGTGTACATTGTTGTGGGTTCAGCCCCATGTTAGACTGGATGTGTACATAGAGTGTTGTGGGCTCAGCAACATGTTAGACTGTATGTGTACATAGAGTGCTGTGGGCTCAGCCACATGTTAGACTGTATGTGTACATAGAGTGCTGTGGGCTCAGCCACATGTTAGACTGAATGTGTACATAGAGTGTTGTGGGCTCAGTCACATGTTAGACTGGATGTGTACATAGATCCGACAACCTTAAGGAGCTGTAGCTGCTGCTGCCAGAACTGGTCTCTCAAGGTAAGGGCGGCTTGCAGTCGTCGCCGGAACTTGGGGTAACCGAGGTGGCCCAGCCAGGGCAGGAAGTCTATTAGCCCGGCCTGTCCTGGTCCGAAGGTATCGTTAAAGAGATGGTTGATGTCCTTGATGGCCTGGAAGCTGGGACTGGACTGGTCCAAGTGAGTGCCTAGTGTCTGCAACAGGGACAGCTTTAGTTAGAGGAAGTGTGTGTGGGGGGGGGGGGTGGAGGGGGTACAAAGACGCAGGTATGATATTATGTATTTGTCTAATACTTCTCGTTATCACATCACATTTTATAACTTTTTTTACAGTTACGTCTCACTGTATCACCTTTCTCTGTCACATGCACCTTTTCACTTCTCTCTCTCTCTCTCTTTGTCTCTCTCTCTCTCTTTGTCTCTCTCTCTCTCTTTGTCTCTCTCTCTCACTTTGTGTCTCTCTATATGTCTCTATCTCTCACGCGCGCGCACACACACACACAAATTACATTATCCTTAGCTTATATGATAATTGAAAGTCATATCTAAGAACTCTGTCCCTTTCTCAACCATATACACAAACCCACATGCACTGACTACTAGTAAATTATCTTTATCTCCGGTAACACACGCACACGTCTCAAACACTTAGACACACAGACACTCACACACACCCACATACATATACACACACTAACAAAAACAAACACATGGGCTCTGAGACATGTTTTCATAGACACGTACACATTGATAGGCATTGTCATGGACAAAGATGAAATAAACTGATACGTGCTGTCACAGACAAAGACACAAACTCACACCCACAAGACAGCCACTGAAGCATGTACTAACTAACCACTGATACAATACACATGATATTTCTACAACCAACCATTCAGCAGCCCTGTAATTGATCTGCCAACTCCACTAGCTGACGTGTTGGTACTCATCAAGCGTCACACAGTGACAGAACCAACACTACTCACCAAGCGTCACACAATGACAGAACCAACACTACTCACCAAGCGTCACACAGTGACATAACCAACACTACTCACCAAGCGTCACACAATGACAGAACCAACACTACTCACCAAGCGTCACACAGTGACATAACCAACACTACTCACCAAGCGTCACACAGTGACATAACCAACAATATATTCATCAATAAAAACATAACATTATACACTGTAAGAGTACCGACAATACTCACCAATTCAAGCGTAACACTGGACACGGCGACATAACCAACTATATATTCATCAATCCATACGTAACATTGGACACAGTAAGATTACCGACGATATCACCAATCCAAGCGTAACACTGGACACGGCAACATAACCAACAATATATGCATCAATCAATAGGTAACATTGGATACAGTGAGAGAACCGACAATACTCACCAATCCCAGCATAACATTGGACACGGCGAAAGGACCAACAATATATTCATCAATCCATACGTAACATTGGATACAGTAAGAGAACCGACAATACTCACCAATCCCAGCATAACATTGGACACGGCGAAAGGACCCACAATATATTCATCAATCCAGACGTAACATTGGATACAGTAAGAGAACCGACAATACTAACCAATCCCAGCATAACATTGGACACGGCGAAAGGACCAACAATATTACCCAATCTAAGTATGACACTGGACACGGTAACAGAACCAACAATACTCACCAATCCAAGCGTGACATTGAACACGGGGAAAGTACCGACAATATTCACCTATCCACGCGTAACACTGGACACGATTACAGAACTAACAGCGAGAGGCCTTGTGTTAAGATCCTAGACACGCTCCCAATGTAATATTCAGAAGGGACGAGATCCCAATGTAATGTGTCTCTCTTTTGTACTAGCTCTTGCTTTGCTCGTACACAGTCTACACGGGCTGTTGTCTATGGGTCAGTCTAACAGGTGGGGAAAGGCAGATTTCTCGAAACTACCACACGTCTCCAAATGATAGTCTACGAAGGTTACTGTCATTTTATGTTTATTCACAATGGTACATAAATGACAGTAATAAAGGTTTTTGTCAGAGGCCAGTTCGGCTACGGGATGAGTATGTGTGATGATAGTGAATCATCACGTATAAACGAGTTGACCCTCAGTCAAACTCAGAGCGAGATCGGGCAGTTTGACCACGGAATAAACTGTGTCCAATGAACTGGGTTAAGCCCTAGGCCCCACTAGTAACACGAGTTACAGGGTGTCAGAGATGAACGCTGAAGAGGAACAAAAGGCTTGGAGAGAGCTTGCTCGGGGAGTTGTGTAGTAGGACACTGGACTAGAGATGCAGGACTGCGACAGGTAAAACTTATCTTAGCTTAGCGACGGTTAGAACGAATAGTATTTGTGGTTAGTATTTTAGATAGGTTATGTTTCCATATAGTGTGTTGACGAGACAGTGTAGCGATAATGCTTCTTGTATAGTAGACGTTTCACGCAGTATCTATTGAGCAGCTAGTTAATGTGTGATACGCATTGTTGATGACGGTAACACTGCCCACGCATACTTAGACCAGTCACCTTACGTGTGTCACTGAGTCCCGCGTGGCATAGACGGCGCTTAGTTAGCGCTGTACGACTGTGAGTTTGGAATCGTGTCCTTGGTATATCCATGGCAACGGCTTGGGTTGATTAGTGAATGTAAAAGCTATACAACGCCGGCGTTTCGGATAAGGACGGCCAACTTTTTTAAGGTGCTATAAGTTAAATTGTTCTTTGAACATTAAAGACTATGTGTGTACTCAGTAGTGTGTGTCTTAAGTGTGTCCTAGGGCAGTTAAGTGTGTTAGCTGGCCTACCTAACGAGCTATAGGAGGTCGATTAATAAAGTAGGTCCCTGACAGTTACAGTCTAACACTTACGACATCCAGGAAGGGTCCAGTTGCTCGCACTTTGGGTATACAGACAGGCTATGGTGTCTCTGACATACACACAGCTGGCACTATTAACAGTCAGTAGGGCACTTCCATTGTCCTCAGGTATACTTCGACGTGGCTTTGATACAACCATTTCCCAGCTTTTACTCCTTGTCATTTAGAATCAACATTAACTTCGTGTCACTCTGGATCCACTCTCGCTCCTATTTCTCTGGGGTCCTGTCACAAAATGACTTCACAGTCACCTATTTCCCCAGACCTCGTCTTTCCAGGTGAGCTCGACCATCTCTTGTTTGTCTATTTTTACGTCTACTTCATGTCTCTTATTTTACGGACTTTCGAGATTCTGTCAAACCAGTCAAACCCTTTACGTTATACCTATTTTTAGCATCACTTCATCACCAATCCAAGCGTAACATTGGACACAATGACAACACTAAAAGAACTCACCAATCCAAGCGTAACATTGGACACAATGACAGCACTAAAAGAACTTCACCAGTCCAAACGTGACACTGGACACTGTGACAGAATCAATAATACTCACCACTCCAAGTGTGACACAGGGACAGAACTAAAAATACTCACCAATCCAAGCGTGACATTGGACATTGTGACGAAACCTATATTACTCACCAATCCAAGCGTGACTATGGACACTGTGACAGATCCTACAGTACACATCAAAACAAACCAAGCAGGAAGTCGAACACAACGACAGAACCTAGATGTACTCACTAATCGAAGCATGACGTTGGACACAGCCTCGTAAATAAGATGCCAGGGGTTAAAGTCCGCCCCGCTACACTTGCCAATGTGCTCCAACATGTGGCTAATCTCCAGATCAGACCGCTGCTGCAGCTGCTCACAGCCTCCGCCGTACATCTTCAGTGATTTGAGAACTTCCTTGCGGAGAAACTGAAGCTTATCTGTATAGGTCTGCCACACAATGGAGTGTCGGTGTCGCCCCGCCTGCAGTGTCCGATACATGGGTGGTCGACCGGCGAAGTCGCTTCCCTTTACCACCAGAGCCTCGTAAACACTATCAAAATTATTGAGTACTAGAATTTCTTCCTGGAACAGTTTAATCCTAAAGATAGGCCCGAACGTGGTAGCCCATCCTGTCAGGACGGTGTGACAGCAAGACATGTCCAGGCTAGTAGCATTTCCGACAAGTGGAATCCTGGGGGTTACCATGGGGATGTGCTCGTATTTGCGGGACTGGCGCTTCATTATCATTACAGAGGCATACAAGAGTAGGACAGTGAGTCCGGCAAGGACAGCTGAAAGTGCTGTCTCTAGGGGCATCGTGGCCTGTGGAACAAACAGACAGACATCGTTTCTGTGACATGACACACATAAAATTTGTTGCCGTGACATGACAAACACAAACATCGTTACTGTGACATGACACATATAAACATCGTTTCTGTGACATGACACACATAAACATCGTTACCTTGACATGACACACATAAACATCGTTTCTGTGACATGACACACATAAAAATTGTTGCTGTGACACGACAAACACAAACATCGTTACTGTGACATGACACACATAAACATCGTTTCTGTGACATAACACACATAAAAATTGGTTCTGTGACACGACACACATAAACATCGTTTCTGTGACATGACACACATAAACATAGTTTCTGTGACATGGCACACATAAACATCGTTACTGTGACATTACACACCTTAACATTGTTACTGTGACATGACACACGTAAACACCGTTTCTGTAATGTCGTAAAGTGATCCCACTTACCCCTGCACATTTGACTATTTGTGACGTTAACGCCCCTAGAGGGCAGGTCACATTTCAAATATAGACCCGTCCGGTGGGTATATAGTCCCTCATATCTATTTTTACCTCTATCGGGCCTAATAAGTATTTATGTAGACTAAAGGTGTCTTGTGAAGTTTATATTTTCAAACTTACAGTTGTGGGATAGATATTTTCTTGATTAAAATTCAGAATTCCTAGAAGCCTTTTTTACTCCTTGGCGTACTTATCTGGGGACGCGACACAGAGTCATCCCGCCTTATTATTTGCCAGACTTCCTAGGTGATAAGAAGTGCTTAGTCTCTCTGATTAAATTTTGGCTCATACAAAATACCAGTTTATTATTTGCCAGACTTCCTAGGTGATAAGAAGTGCTTAGTCTCTCTGATTTAATTTTGGCTCATACAAAATACCAGTTTATTATTTGCCAGACTTCCTAGGTGATAAGAAGTGCTTCCCCTCTCTGATTAAATTTTGGCTCATACAAATACCAGTTTATTATTTGCCAGACTTCCTAGGTGATAAGAAGTGCTTCGCCTTTCTGATTAAATTTTGGCTCATACAAAATACTAGTTTAATATTTGCCAGACTTCCTAGGTGATAAGAAGTGCTTCGCCTCTCTGATTAAATTTTGGCTCATACAAAATACCAGTTTAATATTTGCCAGACTTCCTAGGTGATAAGAAGTGCTTCGCCTCTCTGATTAAATTTTGGCTCATACAAATACCAGTTTAATTTTTGCCAGACTTCCTAGGTGATAAGAAGTGCTTAGCCTCTCTGATTAAATTTTGGCTCATACAAAATACCAGTTTATTATTTGCCAGTTTTCCTAGGTGATAAGAAGTGCTTCGCCTCTCTGATTAAATTTTGGCTCATACAAATACCAGTTTATTATTTGCCAGACTTCCTCGGTGATAAGAAGTGCTTCGCCTCTCTGATTAAATTTTGGCTCATACAAAATACCAGTTTAATATTTGCCAGACTTCCTAGGGGATAAGAAGTGCTTAGCCTCTCTGATTAAATTTTGGCTCATACAAATACCAGTTTAATATTTGCCAGACTTCCTAGGTGATAAGAAGTGCTTAGCCTCTCTGATTAAATTTTGGCTCAGACAAATACCAGTTTAATATTTGCCAGACTTTCTAGGTAATAAGAAGTGCTTCGCCTCTCTGATTAAATTTTGGCTCATACAAATACCAGTTTAATATTTGCCAGACTTCCTAGGTGATAAGAAGTGCTTCGCCTCTCTGATTAAATTTTGGCTCATACAAATACCAGTTTAATATTTGCCAGACTTCCTAGGTTATAAGAAGTGCTTAGCCTCTCTGATTAAATTTTGGCTCAGACAAATACCAGTTTAATATTTGCCAGACTTCCTAGGTAATAAGAAGTGCTTCGCCTCTCTGATTAAATTTTGGCTCATACAAAATACCAATTTATTATTTGCCAGACTTCCTAGGTGATAAGAAGTGCTTCGCCTCTCTGATTAAATTTTGGCTCATACAAATACCAGTTTAATATTTGCCAGACTTCCTAGGTGATAAGAAGTGCTTAGCCTCTCTGATTAAATTTTGGCTCATACAAAATACCAATTTATTATTTGCCAGACTTCCTAGGTGATAAGAAGTGCTTAGCCTCTCTGATTAAATTTTGGCTCATACAAAATACCAGTTTAATATTTACCAGACTTCCTAGGTGATAAGAAGTGCTTAGCCTCTCTGATTAAATCTTGGCTCATACAAAATACCAGTTTAATATTTGAAGGATTGCTAAGCTTGGAATGATATATCACTGGAAGTCAGGCAGACATTCATCAGTCCAACCAACCACCATCCACTAAGAGTGCCTAATACCACCACAACTTCAACATGGCAGGAGCTTGTTTGGGCTCCAGTAGCTAAAAGACAGGTTGCAGGCCACCTATTTATCATCACTCAAGGAGATCCTTCTTCAGGGGCTTGTGTGGGCTACAGTGGCTAAGAGACAGCTGTAGCAGGCCACCCATTTGTTGTCTATCAAAGAGAACCTTCCCCAGGAGCTGTGTTAAGCTCCAGTATACTAACTATATCGGTGTTTACCAGGGCAACCAGGAAAAGAAGCAGTCCACCCGAATCAGCCTGTTCAGATCATCGTGGACTGAGGAGAGCAGTGACATCCACCAAACTGGGATAAGTAACATCCGTAATGATATATACCTCATTCTTTATTTACAGGTCCATCCGGAGTCACGATGGTGACAACAGACTATCTCATAAACTTATTCTGGCTGATTCAGCAGTACAACTCGGACTTTAATTCCTGAACTCTATTCACCTGTGAACATCTTTGATTGTCTTGATGATATATATATGTGTTGCAGTTATTACATGCCTTTGGAAGTTTTCATTACTGACTTGGGTGTCCCTGTTTCACTGTTCAAACTGTCTAGCATTTATGTATGCGTGACAATTAATCTTAATCTGTGTTAACATGGCTGTGGTATTACCATATCATAGTCTGGGAGCTTTCTACTTATAGTAGTGGGGACGTCCAGCCAAGTTGCGACTAGGGATATTATTTATTCTATAGTGCCCTAACTTGAGTTGCCCTACTCCTGAAAAAGGTTAGGTGTATATTGGCCAAGGGATACCCTTTAGACCAATACGAGCCGACACCTCAACATTATTTTATTTCAGAGTGCTGTTGGTTCTTAAGGAGAAATCCTTAAATCAGGCACATGACACACATAAACATTGTTGCTGTGACATGACACACATAAACATTGTTGCCGTGACACGACACACATAAACATTGTTACTGTGAGATGACATACATAAATATCGTTTCTGTAAAACGACACATATAAACATCTTTACTGTGACACGACACACATAAACGCCGTTACTGTGACATGACACACATAAAAATCGTTTCTGTGACACGACACACATAAACATCGTTACTGTTACATGACACAATTAAACACTGTTACTGTGACATGACACACATAAACATTGTCTCTGTGACATGACACACATAAACATCGTTGCTGTGACATGAAACACATAAACATACTTTCTGTGAAATAAAACACACAAACATCCTTTCTGTGACATGACACACATAAACATCGTTTATGTGCATGAAACACATAAACATCGTTTCTCTGACATGACACACATAAACATCGTTTCTGTGACATGATATATATTAACATCGTTTCTGTGACATGACACACATTAAAATTGTTGATGTGACATGACACACATAAATATTGTTAATGTGACATGACATACGTAAACATCATTACTGTGATACTACATATATAATTATCGTCCATGTGACATGACAAACATAACATCATTACTGTGATACTACACATATAATTATCGTTCATGTGACATGACACAAACAAACACTGTTACTGACTACAATACACACACAGACTAATGTACTGACAGTGTTCATACACACATACAGAGACTGATGTACTGACAATGTTCATAGATACACAGACTAATGTACTGACAGTGTTCATACACACATACAGAGACTGATGTACTGACAGTGTTCATAGATAAACAGACTAATGTACTGACAGTGTTCATACACACATACAGAAACTGATGTACTGACAATGTTCATACACACAGACTTATGTACTGACAATGTTCATACACCCAGACTTATGTACTGACAATGTTCATACACACAAACAAATGTACTGACAATGTTCATACACACACAAACTTATGTACTGACAATGTTCATACACACACAAACTAATATACTGACAATGTTCATACACAGAGACTAATGTACTGACAATGTTCATACACACAGACTTATGTACTGACAATGTTCATACACACACAAACTAATATACTGACAATGTTCATACACAGAGACTTGTGTACTGACAATGTTCATACACAGAGACTAATGTACTGACAATGTTCATACACAGAGACTAATGTACTGTCAATGTTCACACAGACACAGATTAATATATTGACAATGTTCACACACACACACACACACACACAGACTAATGTACTGACAATGTTCATACACACACACACAGACTAATGTACTGACAGTGCATATACACACACACACAGACTAATGTACTGACAGTGTTTATACACACACAGACTGATGTACTGAAAAAGTTCATACACACACAGAGACTGAGGTACTGACAATTTTCATACACATACAGACTAATGTACTGACAATGTTCATACACACACACACACAAACTAATGTACTGACAATGTTCATACACACACACACAGAGACTAATATACTGACAATGTTCACACACACACACACAGACTAATATACTGACAATGTTCCCACACACACAGACTGATGTACTGACAATGTTCATGCACACACAGACTGATGTTCTGACAGTGTTCATGCACACACAGACTTATGTACTGACAATGTTCATGCACACACAGACTGATGTACTGACAATGTTCATACACACACACACACAGACTAATGTACTGACAATGTTCATACA